TTATTACACCTCAAACCATACAAGAAGAAGAAGAAGAAGAAGAGGAGGAGGTGCTTGGACTTGATATCCCGCCTTTCACTCCCCTTAAGGAGTCTCAAAGCGGCTCGCATTCTCCTTTTCCTTCTTCCCCACAACAAACACTCTGTGAGGTGAGTGGGGCTGAGAGACTTCGGAGAACTGTGACTAGCCCAAGGTCACCCAGCAGCTGCATGTGGAGGAGCGGGGAATCGAACCTGGTTCACCAGATTATGAGTCCACCGCTCTTAACCACTACACCATGCTACAAACTACCCAAATACCCAGCATAGAGGTCCTTGGGGAACAATACAAAAGTTGCTGTATCCATCACAGGTAGACATTCCCAGGGAAGAACACATAAGAAAAGCCTGCTGGATGAGGCCAATGGCCCATCTAGTCCAGGATCCTGTTCTCACAGTGGTCAATTCTGCCGTGGCCAGAACTCACCTGGAGTCCTGTGCCTGGTTCTGCGCACCACAATTTAGGAAGGATATCGACATGCTGGAACGTCTGAAGAGGAGGGCGACCAAGACGATCAGGGTTCTGGAAACCAAACCTTATGAGGAATGGTTGAAGGAGCTGGGTATGCTGTATGGAAGAGAGAGCTGGACCATAAAGAAGGCTGATCGCTGAAGAATTGATGCTTTTGAATTTTGGTTTTGGAGGAGACTCTGGAGAGCCCCATGGACTGCAAGAAGATCAAACCTCTCCATTCTGAAGGAAATCAGCCCTGAGTGCTCAATGGAAGGACAGATCATGAAGCTGAGGCTCCAAGACTTTGGCCACCTCATGAGAAGAGAAGACTCCCTGGAAAAGACCTTGATGTTGGGAAAGATTGAGGGCACAAAGAGAAGGGGACAACAGAGGACGAGATGGTTGGATAGTGTTCTGGAAGCTACCAGCATGAGTTTGACCAAACTGCGGGAGGCAGTGGAAGACAGGAGTGCCTGGCGTGCTCTGGTCCAGGGGGTCATGAAGAGTCGGACACGACTAAACAACTAAACAACAACAACAGAGAAGACTGAGAGGTGATATGAGAGCCATCTTCAAATATCTGACGGTCTGAGTTGTTCAGCAGGGGAATGTTGAACAAGCTGGCTTGACCCTCCCACTGCTGGCATCGGAGGCTCCACAGCCACAAATACAAGACAACACAATACAAACAGGACTTGCAGCCAGGGATCACCTCCAGAAGAAGGTGCCTGTGAGACACAGGGGTTTTATTGGAGAGGAAATGTTCTGTCAACTCGCTTCCGATGAGGAAGAGGGCACTTCAGAAGTGTGCGTCCGGCTCTGCAACACAGGGTGCTTCTCTCCTGAAATATCCAAACCAACTTAATTGTGATGGCCTGGGATTTGGGCCTGACGGTTCCCAGCCTGCACAGGATTCCCCACCTCCAGAACCAGCTGAGCCAGGGCTGGGGCTTGAACCTGAAGGGCCCTCACCTGTGCTGGATCCTCAGGAGCAGACACCAGCTGAATCCGCTCTGGCTCCTGAGGTGATGGAGGACCCATTGCCTGCAGGTGCTCCACTCTCAGCCCCGTCAGAGGAAGCTGAGGTTGCCTCTGGGTCCAGGAACCCTCCAGCCTCTCCTGAGCTGCAGAGGCTCAGGGCAGAGAGGCGGAGGGAACTAAGTTCCCGCAGGAGGAGTGCTCGCCTCCAGGCCAGGAGAGGCAAGTCACCAGAGGATTGGGGCCGCCCTATGCCTCAGAGGAGATAAAAGCCGGCCAGCCCCAGTCCCAAGTTGTGGAAGCAACATTGTTGGTCGCTAGTTCTTGCCTGAACCCTGTCCTGCTTTCCTGCCTGAGCTCCTGACCCGCCCTGGCTCCCTGCTTGCAAGCCTGTTCCTGACTTCACCCGACTCCCTGCCCTGCACCCAGCTTCAGCTACTACGGACTGCCTCCACATTGCACCTTTGACCATCGCCTCTCAGGTAACCCACAGGACCAGCAAGTTAATGCATCTGGGCACCCTTTGGAGGTCAAAATATCAGTGCTCCAGTCCTTATCACCCAGAGTGATGATTCGGGTTCTGCATCACACATACTAAAACGTTATTCACACTCGCCTGCCATGTCTGGACTTAGCAGCAGTCAGGCATGCAAGTTCTTATCGGGCAGTGGCTTCCAGACTCTTCCTCTCAAACGATCCTGTCTGCATCTGCTTTGGGACTGCAGAGCAGGATGAAAGCCCCCTCTGGGACTCCTGCTAGCAGCCAGGCGGAGGGCAGAGGTTGCCATGAGGCTGAAAGACCCCTCTGCCTTCCAGAATGAATATCAAGGCAAGGGGAGACCAGCCTGGTCAGATCTATCAGCCAGAGATCTCACCAGATTCCCTCCTTGCATTGTGTTCCCAGTCTGGAATGTGTCCTTGAACTAGACACTGGAATTGCGTGGGGAGTTCCCGCCCCCCCCATGTAGAAATAATGACACATGACACAATTATTAAGGTTAATGGGCTAAATAAGGCCACAACTTTATTGGTTACAGGTGATGAGTGGTATTGGCTTAGGCATTGGTCCTAACCGACTATATCTGGCTTCAGTCCGTCCGCTAGAAGTCCGGGAAGGGTTAACCACCAGTAGGGGGAGTCCTGCTGATGCACATCAACTAGGAACTCCCCCCGGGGTCACCAATAGGGGACGTGCCTTAGGCCCTCACCTCCCCAGGCTTCGGACAGGACCACACACCCCGGAATCCTTCACTGGACTACCCTTCAATGTGTGGGGCAGGTGATGATGCTTCCTCCCCTCTTCCAACTACAGAACAAGACCAATGCCTAACCGCCAATACCCAGAAAGTTGTGACGATTTCCTACCAGGTAGGCGAAAACCAAGTGGCTGGTGCCAGTTTGCCAAGTGGAAAAATTCCTACCAGGCCCCTCAACGGCGACCAACCGAGGTCCATGGCAAGGTCAAAGGAAGCAAATCTTTTTCCTTTTTTTTAATAATATAATTTTTAATTTTATTTTCAATGCAAAATTACAACAAAAATTACAAACACTGAATCCAAAATAAAACTATACAAACAAGAAAGAAAAACAAAACACAAAAAGGAGGGGGAAAGCACACATCTACAAATAAAACCATATCTTCATTCTAATCTAGTCATTACATACGCGCATGCGCAGACGCAGTGAGTCGTGACCTGCGCACACGCAGGCGCGGGTTGCGTTCTGCTCATGATGCGAACGGGGCTCCAGAACGGATCCCGTTCGCATCCAGAGGTACCACTGTATTTGCAAAGTAGGAGCTGACTACAATTAAATCCAGAG